TATATATATATATATATATATATATACTAATAATTAGGAGCAACACCAAAGATGGTGCTACAAATAATGGATGTGAAGGGCCTTACTATATCTCACATTAAGAGTCACCTTCAGGTAATTAACAAATCATAACCCTTTAATTTTGTTATTTTTCTCTCTTTTTTTCACCGTTTTTGTGGCTTTAAGAAAATGTATTTTTATGACATGAACAGATGTACAAAAACATGAAACATCAAGAGATGCAAGGTATATATCCCTATTTACTTAAATATTTTTTTTTATCAAATTCCATTTCTTCTACATGATTTTGAATATATATATTATATAATTAAAGGAGTGATTCAAGTGCGTACTTTAAATTTCACAAAAAAAAATTCAATTGCTTGAAACTTGATTTTATTATCTATGAAGATGATAAATAGAAAGTAAATAAGTAGCAAGCGGTGATGCAATCAAAAAAAATTATTAGAAGTTCCATTTGAGGAATTTTTTTTGTTTCGTATTAGCCTTTTTGAGTAGTGCCTGATTCCATATCACCTTTAGGTTAACTAAAATTGAAAAAGGACTTAGAACCTCTTCTACTAAGGCTATATCTATTGTTAGGGAGACCAAAATTTATTTAATTTTGTCACACATAAGTATATAACGCTATTGAGTTAATTAATTACATCTACTACCAACTCATTTGACCTTTTTTGGTTTTTAATTTACTGAAGGTGAAGCTGCAAATGGGAGAAAGAGAAACAGAATTGATGGTTCAGATTCAATGAATATTCCTCAGCGAAACCTTGTTCGTCGTCACAATCATATCAAAGGCAAAACTGCCATGTTTGATGGTTCAGATTCAATAAATTTTCCTCAGCGAAACCTTGTTGATCGTTACAATCATATCAAAAGCAAAGCTGCCATGTTTGATGGTTCTGATCAAATGAATTTTCCTCAGGGAAACCTTGTTCATTGTTACAATCATAACAATGGCAAAGCCCCCATATTTAAAGGTTCCGATCAAATGAATTTTACACAAAGAAACCTTGTTCATCGTTACAATTATAACAATGGCAAATCTGTGTTTGATGATCATCTTAATCCGACTGTAACAACTAACTATTTGGATAAAATTGCTTCCAGCTCTACTGCTTTTCCTCCTCCATGGTTCGTCTCATTTTTCTTCTCTTCCTTTTTCCTATTAAAAATGGAACTATTTTGAGTGTGAACACTTTTACACCATCAATGTCGTAATAACCTAAAAAATAAGACATATAACTCTAGAGCTAGTATTGAATTTCAATGATGATATATGAAATTACCTGTTTACCCCTTCTAGGAAATCTATGCCAGAGAAGAAGATGGGATTGGAAAGACGATACTACTTGTTTAGGGATTTCTTCGATGGAACCATTACTATTCGAGTAATAAACGAAATCCTTTATTCACTTTTTATTAGCTAACTTTCTTTACTCGACATATATAGTTCCAAATGAGAATTTTTTTATTTTTGTTTGGGCAGGATGGAGATAATGATGATAAAATCGTGCGAGCATATGGTATTAGCAATTTGCCAAATAAGAGTGCAACTTCAATGGTTGAAGAGGAAGACTCTCATAGCACTATATCCTTGGATCTATCTCTCAGTTCATATATCTCGCTTGACCTCACCCTTGGTTAAAACCATTTGGTCTCTATAATCTCCTCAAGGGAAAAAAAGAACTATTTTAGTTAATCCTTATCAAGTATATGCTAGTACAAGGAAGTAACCTTTTTGTTTCTGCTTAAACTAACCTAGCTTAGCTAGGTTAACTAAAACTTTGTAACTTATTTACTTTTATAATCCACCTGAGACTGTTAAAGGTGCAGTGATATTTTAAGATGTATAAGGATTTAGTTTCAACTTAAATGTATGTTAATCGACTTATCTAAAAGTTTAAAAAGGTTATAAGTTAGAGAAAAGGTAAGCTAATTTTATGTTTTCAATTATATATTTACGACACCTCAATCCCCTTCATGTGTGGCCTTGAATATTAGTGTTTCTATTCCCTAACCAAGCATGTGAAAAATCTTTTAAATAATGAATAGTAATGGTAAGGCGTAGACTTAATTAGGACCTCATCCGTTCTGATCTATACCATGTTAATTAACTAAAGTGTGTGTGACTATATCATCTAGAAGTTAAACGCGAGGAGCCTAATTACTTACCCTATAAACGCGAGGAGCCTAATTGCAATGAAGGAAAAACCAAAAGCATCAGCTGATGAACAGAATGAATAGTTTCAATACCTTTTATTGCCTTTTTTGGTGGTTTTGGTGGTGTTGTAGGTGCAATTACGCCTCCATTTGGTTTAGGAGCCGGCGTTGGTGGATTTGGTGCTAGATTTAGAGGTTCTTTTGGAAGTGGTTTTGGTCCTTTAGCCGGAAATGGTGGAACAAGTAGTTCTTGAGCTGGAACTGGAACGGGAAGTTGAAGTGAATTTGGTTCTTGTATTAATGAAGGGTTTGAAGATAATTGTGGAAATAATCCTAATGATAAAATTGAAGGTGAACTTGATGAAGGTGACCTAGGTGAGGGAGGCCTAGTAGTGCTAGTATGAATGATTTTTATCCGAGTAAACAGAAGTATGAATTGAGAAGTCTATGATTTTTCAATTATTGAAAGAAAAGTAAGTAAATGTGTGCAGTGATGCAATCTAAAAAAGAGAGAGGAAATTCACTTCTTCAAGAATCTTTTTATGTTATATTTGACCTTGGAGTTTTTTCTAACTCCATATTCCGTAGGATAAAAAGGAT